TTGTCAACTATATTATCAATTATCAGTTGTTTCAGTACTGGTTGCTGGAGAATAAATCTTTGAATATTTGCTTAGATGCCTAATAAAATGTGTCAGCCATCAAGATTTAGCGCTTAAATCCACACTTTGTACCTGGTCACTAATTAGCTCCGCTTAATAACTGCGTATTATCTCAAAGTACAGGTTAAGATAAAGAGAATGTCAATATTTGAACTAAATTTAAATAGTTAAAGTTTAACATGAGCAAAAACATCAAATAATTGTTAAGTTATTTTAGTTATTTCGCTAAAAACAAAAATGTCATCTTCCTAGCAGGACATTAAATTCATCCTCTAAGAACCATTAATTTTCAAACAAATAGTTGTTGAGATATTTCAGTCTGGATCCAAAAGTCACAGATCAACTGATTAACTGTCATTTCCACAGACTAATTGCCAGCAGCCCATTGAAAGTTTGACTCTGCTGATCCTTATCAAACACAGAGGTTTTTGTCTCCTTCAGGTCCTTCAGTCTCTGCAGTACATCGACAGCAGTGGAGCCGTGCAGCTCAAAGGCCGAGTAGCTTGTCAGATCAGCAGCCACGAGCTGCTGCTTACCGAGCTGCTGTTCGAGAACGTCCTGAGTCCGCTGGCACCGGAGGAGAGTGCCGCCCTGCTGTCCTGTTTGGTCTTTACTCAGAACACACAAGTGGAGCCGCACATCACTAACACGCTGCAGGAGGTGAGGTTTGAAAGACATTTTATCTTTTTTTTTATTTTTTTAATTTTAAGCAGAAAGAATCACCTGATTTTTGTGACAGTCCTTGACAGACTCATCTGTGACTTATTGTTTAGTCGGAAAACGTAATCTGAGCCTAAAATCAGGATAATTTGTAAAAATCACTTTTTTCTGCATGTTGTATTTAGATACGCCATTAGTTTTAACCACATTCTGGAACAAACAAAAAAAAGCAAAAAAAACATACAAATTCTGCACTTCTTGGTGCAGTTATGAAGCCATTAGTGATTCAGCTGCAACCAACAGCCACATATCAAAAATTCAGACTTTTCAGCTGAACTGCAGGCAGTGTTTACACAAAGCAGATAGGAGACAAGTATGGAAACAAATTAATATTGCATAAGATCCATACTGTGAAGCATTGTCATTTTTTCAGAATTAGTAACTTGGTAAATTTAATTTGATGCGTTCAAATTGGTGATTTTGTCTGATCAACTCTCAAAAACCTGCACCACAAAATACCAAAAGTAGATATTTGTATCATGGGTCATTTTCTGGCATTCTACTTAAAAAGCATAAAAATGAGTAAAAGATCTAAAGTCTTTCAATGTCCATCAAAAAAAAGTGAAAATCTTCACGTTCTAAAACCTGGGATTTGTGATTTTTTTTTGTTTTTTTTACAGCATTTTTGCTTTATAATAAATGTCGTCAGTGATGATCAGTGTTTAAATTTGATGTCAGCAGTTTGTTCAGTGACTGATCAACCAGCCAATAATCAACTAGTTTAATCTAAAGATATTTAGTGCTGAGAGTCAATGTTGTAACTCTTCACATTTTAGAACCTGGAGTAATTTTTTTCTTTTTCTTTTTTCTTTTTTAAAAAAAATCATTTACCCCTCATAAAGTCTTAATTGATAATCAATGTGTTAAAATTTGATGTACATGATTGATCAGCAAGCCAATTGTCAGTTCATTGTTTCTGAACTAGTTGACGGAGATGGAATCTTTAAAAATTTGTTTAGGTGTTTCATGACAAGTGTGAGGAAGAGACGTGTTGATTCCATTTTTAATTTTTAAAAAAAATCATTGATGTTCTTCTTTTTTTTTTTTTTTTTTTTTTTTTTTGTTATAACTGTATCATACTGCCATTTTTGGGTTCTCTCTACTTCTAGTCATGGTTGTGTTGTTTTCATAGAGGTGCAGGAACTTATATTGCAGTGAATAATGAACCCACAGTGAGGACTCTGTGGAAACTCAGTCACAAACAAAGTCACTCATGTTGTACAGACTTGATGCATAACATCCTGCAGAAAGGACAACAAGAACACTTCACTTGAGTCATCCCAGTCACTGAGTAAATCACTCATTCGCCTTTGCTGCGTCAGTGTACAGAGCTGCCCCGACATGAAAGTGCTTTATGAGGGCTTGAATTAATAATGACTTAAGTAGCAGTTTCTAAGTCCTCCTGTCAAAAAGGAGTAAAACACCATGGCGCAGTTTGCAAAACTGATTTCCTGGACATAAATGACAAGGTCACCCTGTTAATGCAAAGTGAAGAGCAGCTTGTAAAACGTAAATGTGTGTCTGGCAGTTTCTTACCCACTTTATCCTGTTATTTCTTTCTTGGTGTTGCTTTTTATTCCAGGGCATTGATAAGGTATTGTCAGTCGCCAAGCGAATCGGGGAGCTGCAGCGGGAGTGTGAAATACCTCAGACCGCTGAGGAGTTTGTGGGCCAGTTCAAGTTTGGTCTGACGGAGGTGGTGTACTGCTGGGCCAGAGGCATGGTGAGGTTTAACATGTGATGCATCTGGTGTTAGGATGCTGTCTTCATCTGGATAAGATCAAATGCATAGTAACGGGGCAGCCAAACAATTGTACTTATTAAAATGATCGTAGTCATGCAGACTAGTGAAAACAGTTATACTTGTGCATCTCTGATTGTAAAAAAATGTCTTTTTTTTCCTATGTATTTTTTTTCCAAAAGGTACATTCACATTTATTCTATATTTATTACATATAGAGTGAAGTATTCCACATATTTCTGTCTTAATTTGGATTATGGCTTATAGTTCATGAAAATCTGAAATTCAGTATCTCAAGTTATCAGAATAGAAGGTCCAGTGAGTCGACTGGCCAATCAAGCACAGTAATATCATTTTTCTGTAAACCATTGGATGGTAGTTTTGCCTATGTGGGCAGCTGCTCAGTCCTGCTGCAAAAAGAAATCTGCATCTCCATAAAGCTTATCAGCAGATGGAAGCATAAAGCGCTTTAACATCTCCTGGTCGATGCTGTTTTGAGTAAAGATTATGGTTAAAAAAAAAAGAAAAAAAAAAAAGGCCTGAAATATTTCACTTTAAATGTAATGAGTGTTTTCACTTCTTAAAATAACTGATGGAAAACATAAAACTTTTTTGTGATGGTCTAATTTTTTGAGATGCACCAGTGTGCCCTCTGTTGCTCTCAAAGCAGCTTTGCAGAGTCCATATCAGCCTTTGACAGATTGATTTGAGCAAGCTTTGTAAGACTCTGGTGGGTTTAGTGGAAGTGCACAATTGTATGCTGCTAAACGGACAGTTTAAGTCCTTTGAAGACCCACAGTTGACATGTTCCCAGAGTGGTGTTCTGCTCTGGACCAGGTCAGCAGAAAAACATTTTAGCCACTTAAAAAGAGGTCCACCCAAAAAAAATGTACTGTGTGTAAATGTACGCTACATTTAGAGTATTCTCACTGCTTTACCTTGGCGTCACTGCAGGTTCTGAACCTTACAACTTCTGTATTCCTACACATAAGTGCCGCCATTCTGCACACTGTTCTTCACTGCACAGCTGTTCCAATTCAAGCAGTTTGAAGTAGCTAAACACTTCACATCACCTCACAAAACCCCACTTCAAAGACACTAAACTACCCCTTTAATGCGGGTGTAAATGTATGCTAAACACATGGATGTAGGATCAGACGGGCGCCTGCACGTCATCATGAGGCGGTTTGACTCAGGAAAGTGTAAATGCAATCTGTGGAGTTTCTTAAGAAAAAGATCCACCTTAATCCAGCTAACAAGTAATCAGGGTCACCTGCTCTTTCTCCACTAAAAGACAGAAAAGGGTATCGCAAACTAATGCTAATCCACCAGCTGTGACTGGTGTGCATCTTTAAATCCAAACAATGAGGGTTGAAACCTGATGAAGAGAAACTTATTAATGAAAAGATCAGATGTCAGTATCAAGATAATGTATCAAATTATAGATTACATGGTGTAATACCAGCTGTACATGGGGCTGATTAATTTATTATTATTATGATGATGATGATTATTATTATTATGTGTATAGGAGAAATCACACAGCCATCTCAACCCTGAAACCCATCGAAGGGATTAAAAGGCATTTTGCTTTGAAGAAATCACTAAAATTACACATTTTTTTAGAAAACAGAAACAGTAAAACCTGAGAGAATCCCCTGATTTCCAACTTTCTGATGGTCTTTAAACTACTCGTCTGTAATGTGCATTTTTATCAGAAAAAATAGTCAAATCGATGCTTAAAGTTGTGATATTTCATCAAAAATCATAATCATGTCATTCTACGTCTTATTTGAAGATCAACCAAAAACAAAGCATTTCCAATGAACAGTCTCATCACAAAAGAGTTTATGTGTGATCGACTGAGATTGATCAGTTTGTCCCCTGCAGCTGTGTCTCTATTTTCCTAATGTTACACTGTTCTGTCACTTTTAACGCCCACAAAAGTCCAGATCTTAAAGCTACCTTCTGATGATGTCCTGGTTTGTGGTCACGGCTTGTGTTTCTTGTTCAGTTTGTGGAGTCTTGAGGGACATTTGTGAGACCACAGACAGAGAGACGGGGCTGCATCAAAGCTTCAATTTATCAATAATTGGTTAATAGATATAAAGATACCAATAAATGCCAAATATCGGCCATGATGATCGGTCTATCCCTAGTTTTTACTGCACTTCACTTCATTTACAGAGTGTCTTACAGAAGCAATCATCACTTTGTTATAGAATCAACTGTTTACTGGTGTTTTTTCTTAAAACACTTCAACATCAAGACACTTAACTCCTCTTCTATCCCAGCCCTTCGCAGAGATCGCCCAGCTGACTGACGTCCAGGAGGGGACGGTGGTCCGCTGCATCCAGCGCCTGGACGAGGTGCTGAAGGAGGTGCGTCAGGCCGCCCGCATCGTGGGAGACTCCGTCCTGGGCAGCAAGATGGAGAAGGCGTCCCTGTCCATCCGCAGGGACATCGTCTTCACCGCCTCCCTCTACACCCACTGAAGTGTTTCTTTGTGTGCAAAGTGTGAGACAAATGGAGGAGCATCTGGGGAAGGTTGGAGGTGTGATGTTTACATGAAGAAGGGACTGATTTTAACCAACAGACCAAATGAACATGGAAAATGTGGATTGTAATTTATTGTACAGTAATAAAATCTGTATTCAGAAACCTGTCTTCCTGTGATTTCTGTTTGTAGCATCACCAGATTATTTTGACCTTCTGCAGCAAAAAAATTACACAGAAAATCTGCCAGAAGAATCAATTGAGAACTGACGTGGGTCAAATGTCACGTAAGGAAGGAAATCCACCCAGTTCAGCCTCTTTGTTGCGCTTTAATGGGATGTTCCAGCCTGTGCGTTTTTTTTTCTTCCCCTCTCCACAATCCAGGCTGTCGCTTTAAGGCAACGATAGCTTTGTGTCTCGTTAATTCAATGTACGGCGACGCGTTAGCGGAGAGACCTTATTAGAAGCGGCCACACAGAGAGGAGAGAGAGCAGACCTGTGCGCACGCTGACGCACGACTGCCCTCGATTTAATACAGAAAAAAACTGAAGTTTACATTAAAACGTGGGTGTTTTCTTTTTTCTTTTCTTTTTTCTCTTTTTCTTTTTTTTTTTTCTCCTTTTTTTTTGTAAGGATGAAGGCGTCCTGAGGATGGGCTGCACACGCTTGGAATAACCGGAATCACCGCGCACCAAAAAGGTTTTCTTTTCTTGCTTCTTTATTCACACCAGCAGCTGGAGTAAAAGAACACATCCGAGGACAGAAGATCGGAAGGCATGTCGTCTGAAAAACACGGTGAGATGATTTTAACTGTGTGATGGAGATCATCTGGAGCCGCTGCTTCTATAGGAGGATGCACCGCGGTGCGGGTGCAGCTTAAGGGGGGGGGATTTTTTATTTTTTTTTTTTTAAATCACCACAGGGGCTTTAAATCAGAGACTTTTTTTTGTGATTATATCTGTGCGTAAAATCAGAATTGTATCTATTTTTTATCCTAAATGTAAAGATTTTCTGTCAAATCCCACGCACTCCTTGTTCTTTTTCTCTCCATATACGCGCCTTATCACCATCATTACACACAGGCCTACGTCTCCTGGCATGATGTGGGTGTCCTTTTACGCCTTTACAGCCTTTAATAACAATAAAAAGATAATCTCACCTTTCCAGTTTCTATTATTTGACGGTTTTAAAGCACCAACTCGTGCAGATGGAGCTCAAACTCCCAGAAAACTACAGCTTTCCATTGAAAAACACATAGAAACGAAGCTGGTGATGACACCTGATTTTTATCATTGGAGCAGCAGGCTGCAGTTTTTTGGGCTGCAAACGTGACCACTGTCTCGTGTGTTAATCAGATCTGTGGGGCTATAATTAAACAATGGGTGGACAACAGCATCCAGTGATGCTAATCAAACAGCTACAGCACTCCTGCCGGGGTATTTATGAGGAAGCAACCACAGCAGTATTGATGGAATACAGATAGGATGCTGATGTAACACATGTAATGTCAATGATCTGCAAAGTGTTAGTTTATCAGCCTCTTCAAAGCTCCTGTATCCAACATCCAAATGCGGCAACCAGATACAGGTCATTTTTAAACATCCTGTCCTTTATCCTGTCTTTGTTATAGGAATAATAAGGACACTGATTACAGAATTATTTGTAAATGTGGGGATTGTTGCAGGATTGTGTAACATTATTGTGTCCCACTGCCACACATTTTGTGCACACAGTCATCAGGTAGAATTGAGCTTTTCCTGTTACTCAGCGTCTCCTGTGAGAAGAAAAGAAATCTGTGTGCAGTTGCTCATAAGTTGTCTGGTAACAGGAGAATTTTCTATTTGACCAGTAAAACCTACAGCTTTGATCAGTGCCTGACTCAGCTGCACTTCCACTTGTCATAAAGAATAAAACATATAAACATATAATCCAATCAGAACCTGCTGTACTGATTGTACGATGTGCAATCTGTGTATGAACAGCTGTATGACTGTATATGTTTACATAAATTGTCACCAGTGTGTGATTCACAGGTGTGTTTCCATTTATTCTCGCTATCATATTGCATTATTATCAGTTGATGTGCTTGATGTCTTTGTTCCTGTTTGTTTGTGATGTTAAGAGTAAATGCTCTTAACATCACAAGCTAACTTGGAACAATTTATTAAGTATTACTAAGTTTTTGTTTTTTGTTTTTTGTTTTTACTGTATATATACCATTTAATAACAGAAAATGTCCTATGACCAGTATTTGTTGTAAATGTCACTTTTTTATAATATATTTGCAATTAAATAACAGGAAAATGTCCTGTTAAAAGGTACAATATCTTGCAGTTTTTGTTTTGGGAAGGTTTTTTTTTTGTCTGTACATTTGTTTTTCAAATATAAACACAGTGTTTTTTAATTAGAGGACAAAATTTGGGTAAAGAGCTGCCAGTACTTTATCTGTTATTTTATAGCTTAATTTCTTAAAGTGTAGGAACAAAAAAGAGGCAAGAAAAAAAGGAAATAATCGTGAAATAATACAACATGGTAAAGTAAAAAAGAAAAGGTTTATAAAAATATATACGTATACAATTGACTGATATCTACTGTGTTATAGTGGCAACAAAATGATGCTTGTAATTACATGTTGCAGAACAATGACTCCAAAGGACAACCTTTGGAGCCCAACAAATGCACTTTGCATCCAAATTCACTTCCTTTTTTCTCAGCTGAGTTGCTCCTGAAGTCTTTAATGCAGCGAGTTGTAAACATTTGCCTGGTTTGTCAACTCTGTAGGCATTTTTGTTCGGCACATATTTCCCCCATGCAGTTTCTAAGTTATACAGTTTTCCATCATCACTGATCTAATAATTCCAGATTCCAGACAATCTCCTATACAGATACACAAAAAGATATCTTCACTGCCAGCAGTTTATGGAAAGATATGTGTAAAAGCATAACATTTTCATTTTTCATTTCATTTTTTCCTTTCTATTAAGGGTATAAATAACTCTGGAAATATTATCGTAATATATAATGTAAGATCTGAATAGCCTGGACTGTTATGAATAAAACAAGATACAGCATGAATGGTTTGTCCTTAGAATGACCAAGATAAGAGCATAAACATGAAGGTAGTGAAATTCCCCTGGGGCCTGATGGGGTTAAATCCCCACTGACCTCAGTCTATTTATTCTTCTTACTCCACTTATCCACATATAGGTTTATGTGACATTTCATACAGGCTCTGACCTACTACAAGGTTATTCTTTGTGGATGTTGCTTTTTTTTTTCTTGGGCACGTCTGCTAAAAAAGTGTTGTTTAAAGTCACTGTCACCTGTTTTTGATCAGGATTCAACTGAAAATCCTCCACACGCAGATTCCGGACTCAGAAACATCTCCAGATCTAAATACACAGAGATGTCACAGGCCCGTGCTGCTCGTCACCTCATGACCTTTTAAAGGTGTCCCTTCCCTCGCGCTGCCTCCTCTTCCCCTCTGTCTGTTTCTGGTCCACTTCCTGCTTGTGACAGGGTTGGGAACTGTTACGTAAAGCCGGTCCCCGAGCACGAGTCGTCATCCCTCATCACTCAGCCACTCCACTTGCCTCCCGCCTCCTGCTCTGCTTTTTCTGTCCCATCAAATCCTCCTTCCTTCCTCCGTCCATCTCCATTTTTCTTTCCTTCTCCTCCTCATGTCCCTGTCAGAGCGGATTACCCCAGCCACCTCCCCGCTGCGAAAATACAACACCCCATCAGTCATTTTCAGTGTTAAACAAACACAAAGGGAGCTGAGGTGTTTGCGTCAAACGTCCAGAGGCAGATGGATGCATTGGAATGAGTTTCTTCCGTGGCTGAAATGCCTCATTTCTAACTGCTAATAAACATCATTGTGAAGGCAGAAGCATAGAAAAAGGCCTTTCTTCTTCTTGGGGATCGAAAATGTCAATCACTGTCATCATTAGACTGCAGGTTGGGAAATATCAGGCTTTGCAAATGCCTTTTGAAGTCTTGCTGAGGAGCTGTGTAATTGTTTTTTCTCCTCTTCAGCAGCCAGATAAGACGCATTACATTCAATAAGCACGTGTAGCAGTGCTCCAGTTAGATAACATGCCCTCACTCTTACATCTGTTTCTTTTATTGTTCTTCCTCTGCCTTTTCTATTTCTGATTGCTCTCCTTCTCCGTCTTTTCCTCCCTCTTCTTTCTTCTTCATCATCCTCTCTCAGGGCTCGATGACTCCGGCCGTCAGACCATGCAGCCTCCTCCCTATCTGCCCGGCCCACAAGACCCCAACGTTCCCCAGCACCCCAACATGCCTCCGGCACCGGGCACGCAGCCCAACTACCCCCCTCCGCCTCCTCCTCCAGGCTCAGAGGGATACCTCCAAGAGACTCAGTTCCACTGCGGACCAATGGGACCTCCGGGGGCCCCGCAGGGCTACACCGTCCAGACCCAGGGCCCTGGAGGCACCATGGCGCACCCCCCTGTGGGCTACCTCCACCCAGGATACCCGCTTCAGCTGCAGCCCTGCACGGCTTACGTACCCGTCTACCCCATGGCATCAGTGAGTATAAAGGCTTCACAAATTTCCCATCAGGCTGATGCAGAGTTTGAAATTCCCAACTTTACATTCACAGATCTAATTCTGATGTTGCAGGTGAATCATTTCTTATAATTTACTGTAGTGTTACTCAGTAGGAACATGAATTTGACGCTAATTGTAGGAAAAAATTATACTAGTTATGTTGGTCCTGGTGCTTTAAACTGTTCCTATTTTCTATCTCCGTCCAGTGTCATATTTCTTTCTCTTATTTCTATTTTCAATCAATTATTTTTGTTTCAGTCAAGATTTCTTTATTTGTCATTTCTCTGTGCACCAGTGCACACAATAATATCGTTCTCCCAGCCTTTATCAATACCACAGAATAGAAAACGATTGAGAGTAGTTTGGAAATAAGTAATAAGAATTAAAATGAACAGAAATCACTAGAAAACAAGTAACATAAAAACATGGAAGAGCTTGAGCACAACATTTTAAAGTGCTAAATAAAGTTCAATTAGCAGCACAGTATGTTAAATTTACCTGATCTTATATTTAAAAATGTGTATCTGGACAGTTGTATATGCTTTCACTTCATAAATGTGTGGGCTGGTTTATTATTTTTTGTCTTATTTTATGGCTTATGCAGATATAGATCCACAAGTGGGATGTTTGCTACCTTACATTGTACTTTTTCTGTCATATCAGTGAGACAAACTTCACTCTATAAGTCATTTCATTTGCCTGCTGTGTGGCTGATCCATTAATTACCTGGACATTTAACTGTGCATAATTAATAATAATTATCTAAAAACCTCCCTAGGGAAGTATTAGAAAATGTGTCAAATTTTGCGTTACTTCCGAAACTACATTTGTTTTAGTTGTCATATATCATGACCTCCGTCTCACTGCTGTGAAAGTGCTGCAGTTTTAGTCACATTTTTCATTTTAAAAAAAGTTTCCTGCAGTGTCTGAAACAGCTCTATTGGTCGATGATGCTTTTATGTACTTATTTTTGAAGAAGAGGTCATAATACTACAGTTAAATAGCCGCTGAATGCTTGTTCCTCACACTGTTGTGTTAACAGATTGTTTGCATTATTTATCATATGCACTTTGTTAAACAGATTTGGAGTTCCAGATTATATTTTATTAGTCTAAAGGACACTTAATTTTTTACACACAGGTTGATTCAGAGTGAAAAACAGTACATGAGAGTTTTACATCTCCAAGACTCTAAATAAATTATAAAATTAGACCACTTTGACTGCAAGGAGCTATCAAATATGCTGTGAACCATAGTACCTAAAAAAAAATTTGGTTGAGCTGCAAGCAGTTTATATAAATATAAAGCCTGTCCTCAAGATCTTTATTGGTTTTGTGCCATTTAATAATTCAACATATACCTGTTGTTTTTTGTTTTTTTTAAAATTTGTGCTACAAATGGGAACACATTAGTTGATAAAACAATTGTAAACTGCATTACCGAACATCAAAGTGGCAAAATGAGGCAGCGGAAAGTGACTGTGAATCATCAAACAGAGGAAAGTGCAGCTGTGTAGTGTCCTAATTGTAATTTCTGTGTGCAGAGGACTACAGGAGTGTGGGTTTGAATGCAAATATAATATTTATCAAGAGCTAAAATCTGCTCTGCAGCATACTCAACTTGCACAAATGCACAAATTGATCTTTGTGATTTTTAGACATTTCCAGGAAGGAGGCTGATGAATTTAATCTGATGAGGTTTAGACATGCACAGTGATTGGTGTCTTTGAACACAGCGCACACTTGCAGCTAATTGGAAAAAAAAACACCAATTGTGACAACAGTTTAATTTAGAGGAACTTTAAGCAACAATGCACTCTGCTGTCTCCTTTGCAGTGTTGCAGCTAATTACAGCCAGGAAATATGAACACACAGTGTGAGGCAGAGTTACCTCTCGGCTCTGCAGGTGGTTAGTAATAAAGCAAACCTGGTGAAAATTGTCCAGTTGGCTTTGAAAGCTAATCTTCGAGGGGCTCTGCACTGTGATTAAGTCGTCTCTGACGTCTCGCCTGACTCTCACGACTCCCACACTGTAAAATATTCATCTAAATCGATTTGACAGACGGCTGTTAAGAATGCAAATAAAGCCTTTTTTCCCTGTTGTTCCCTGTCCATCACCAGTAATCCTGCTGCCGTCCTCCTCTTCGCTCACGTCACTATGTTCCCATGTCTTTCGAGTGGAAAGTGCTTTGTAAGCTGCTCTACTGTTTTAAAAACATACTCTCTGTCTCTGCTCAGGGTCAACCCTACATGCCGGCGGGGGGAGCCCACCCAGGGATCCCACCGGGTCAGATTCACCCCATGCAAATGCCGCCCAGCATCACCCTGATGGACCGTCGACCGCCTCACGACTATCTGCCCATCGCAGTCCTCACCACTGTCTGCTGCTTCTGGCCCACAGGCATCATTGCAATCATCAAAGCCGTGCAGGTTGGTGCTGCTGTGGATTTTCTGTTTGATCTTTGGGCTTCATATTAACGTAATACCACATTTACTGAGGACTTTGGAATGAAATTCAGCCTGTAAAGAGGGCCTATTATGTGTTTCCTTATTTTCTGCTTTACATATAATGTTAAATTATCAGACATTTGTATTAAAAGTAATTTCTGTGAGCCAATATCTCAGACTTTTTTGATGTCGGCTCATTACGGATTCCTTTATACAGTCCTCCAGGCAAACATGCCCACAAAGTTAAAGAACAGACTTCTTGGCAAATGTATGCACATATTCTTGCAAAATAGTCTGCTTGAGTGGTATTCTAGGCATTTAATGTACTGCAATACACAGATAGCCAGCGGTGAAGGTAGAATAATGTTTTGCTAGCCACATTACCTTTGGTATATCCTGATTGTAGGTGTTTTCCACTTCACATTTTACTGTATTATCCCTAATATTAACTGGGACATACTGTGTATAGGAAACATTTTTCATACTGCTTATATTCAAAAGCCGAACTCCACCATTATGTCACACAATAGGCACTTAAAGAGTTTAATATTTACCAAACACAAAACAAATGTTTGTTCCAGATTGGATTCGTGCTGACGTATATGCGAATGGGTTTGGAAAGTTATTTCAAGAATGAGAATTGATGTTACTGAGCAGTTCTACAGGTTGCTTTCAGAACTTCCACACTAACAAGAAGATGAGTGGGTGCTCATAAGCACTGAGGGAGGCTTCCTGAAGTTAGCCAATCAGAAGAAACAGGGCTTTTAGCAAGGCGGGCCTTAAAGCACCTAGCTAATTATTGTGTATTAAAATTTGATCTGGAAAGTTGGAATGTCCAAGGTTCCTAGTTAGAATTTTCAACTGGAATGCACCTTTTAGTCAGATCTTCAACTGAGAAAGTCAGAAGAACATCATCAACCTCGACTTCCAAATCCAAGATGGATGCTCAGTGCATCGACAGTAGTGTTTGTTAGCACTTCTGTCTTATTTGTGTCTCAATATATCAGTTGTACACACAGTTCTGGTTCAGTCTCCCAGTGGATATGTAGCTACGTTTTTTACATGCAATACACAGTAATGCATTGTTATCAACTGGTGTTGCTAACAATGGCTAATCTGAAAGCAAAGGCTTTCCTGGAGGTCTGCATCCTGCTTTGTCCAACTTGCTGGAACACAAAATAATATCGCCTGTTTCAGACAGAAACTGAAGGGCTTAGTAACTGGTACTACGAGATATACATTCCTGATCAAAATCTTCAGACCAGTTAAAAAATTGCATGAATTTGCATTTTGCACTGTTGGATCTTAGGAAGGTTCTAAGTAGAGCTTCAAAATGCAAAAAGAAGAAATGGGAACACGAGACCAAAAGTTTTGAGCAGGCAATTTATTGAAAACAACAATTTAACTCAAATAGGCTGCTCATGCTGATTTTGTTCTGTAGTTTTTCCTGTTGTCCCATGAACAACCTAAAATTAAGAGTTCTTTCCCTGCCTTGTCTGTGGCCAGAAGCGTATTTGTCACTATTAACGATGTAAATATTTAAAAACAGGTGATAAGTGGATATTTTATTTTTAATGAAAATGCATGAATTTCCTCAAACCGCTGGACGCTGTGGTTTTCAACACACACGTAACTCCAACAGAAATAAATAGAGCATTTTGGGGGGAACTATTTTCATCTGCGGATTAATATGGATTTGGTGACCTATGAGTATTTTCAGAAGCAGGACGTGTGTGAGGCTTTGATTCTGCAGTTCTGTGTTGATCGTGAACGTTTTTTTGGTAGTTTTTGGACATCGATGGAGCTATGTGGCCCAAAAATGGAATACATTGATCTTTGGCTACATATTATACACTGTTTATGGGGGGGAAATGAAAAAAAGAGAATGTTGACAGCTTTATGCCTTTTGTTATATCAGTTTGCAACTAAATATCATCTATTTGAAAAGTAAGTCTTGCAAATTCTAAAAGAAAATCACATTAAGTGTTGCTATTTATTAGGGTCAACAGGTAAATGTCCTTTTCTGACAAGAAAATAACTCGATAACAAACATTTTATTGTTATTTTAATTGGAACAGGCTGGAAATTGTACACACACACACACACACACACACACACACACACATATATAAAAAAGATACTCATGCTTGTAAACAAACACACCCTGCTGCATGTGACTGTTAGGAAAGATCGTTCATCCCTGACAGCTTGTGTCAAAGCAGGATGTGATGGGAAAAACCCCATCACATCCTGCTTTTTAGTGCATCCCTTCCTTCCTGTTAACATGGAGTGCAAAATAACAGTAGTACCTGTTTATACTGAGTCAAAATGCAGAAAAAATATTAAAATTTAGAAGTTTTTGTGGTTGTGAATGGAAAACAGGAGAAAATAAGTGTGCAAAATCAGAATGAAATCGTCATCAACAGAGGAGAACCGTGTCAGGATTTATATTAGACAAAGTTCATCTTTGACTCTCTTGATGCTGCAGGTTAACCTGAGGTTAGACACGTAAAGTCTCAGCCTGGTGGCTCTCATACTTCACGATGCCTGTTGTTTATCTCCATAATGGCAGTCTGTGCTGACCAACATGCACTCAATAGCTCACATTATGTAACTGCACCATTGTCAGTGCAACGGGACAGAATGGATTTTTTCCTCTGGGCCCTGCTCAGCTGGCTGTGAGTTGAGCTGAGCTGACAAGGCATGGACCCACCGGTCGGCACTGTGTATGTTGTTATAGTGTGTTAATGTTGCGTGGAGTGGCCTCTTTCTGCACATTCAGCCTGTGCTGCAGTGAAATCGATCCGTCCACAGCGTATCTCTCCTGCTCCCACTCGTGCATTTTCCCGTTACATAACATATATTCTAAATTGTCTCCTCTCTCTCTCTCTCTCTCTCTCTCTATCTCTCTCCCCCCCACATCCCACCTCCCCTCCTGCATCACTTTAGGTGCGTACTGCGATAGCCCGAGGGGACATGGTGACGGCGGAAATAGCCTCCCGCGAGGCACGCAACTTCTCCTTCATCAGCCTGGCTGTGGGCATCGCCTCCATCGTGCTGTGCACCATCCTCACCGTGGTTGTCATCATAGCCTCACAGCACCACGATGACGACTGGGAACCCTAACTCCTGTGCCGATCTCCTGATGGGGCATATATTTAGCTAGCTAACTTCTCTCAATCGTTTTGGAGGAAACAGGAGAACCTGAAAATGCATTCAAACTGTTTTCTGCTTGCCGGCCCTCAGCTGCACACACAGCTCTGACCCAACCTGCTGCCATCAAACACCCACCGATGACCAAAAAAAAAACCAAACAAACAAAAAAACAACCGATCACACCTGACGTTTTGATGCCAAATGCAAGCAGCTGTCAAACGAGGCCCGGTATTACTGTTAGCGCAGCGGCCTCTTTAATATTTACACTCAGATATGAGCTACAGGAGAGAAACAAAGCTCCTTGCATTAACAATTCATTTGACACTGATAAATTCATACTTCCCTTTGCTGATGTAGTTAGATGAGAGGATAGGTCACTGTGTGTTTTAAGTATTTACGGACCTTCGCAGTCGCTGCAATTTGAGATACCACATCCAAAAAGGTTTATTTAGCATAGTTACATGCACATTTTAGTAAAATACTTTTCTTTTTTAAATAAAGTGCCATGTTGAAACAGTGTTGATTTACATAGTACCTTTGCTGCATTTCCAGTGTTAGAGGGCGATTTAACACACCAAATGGAGACTGGACTGTCAACCAAACAGAGTATTTATTTCAGATTTGTGTGGACATTTTAACCGGATGAGATGATACCTAACTTGTGGATTACATGCTTGTTAATTTATTTAAAATCTGTTATTTATTAATTTATTCGATATCTACCCACACATCGACTTTTGTCCAACATAATTTACAGTATATCACCAGTTTATTGCCGCTATCTGACACTTTGAATTGGTATAAATTTGATATCTTTAAGATCTTTGCACTTTGTAGTAACCAGATGAGATGATGCAGCTGCTTACATTCATAGTCCTTATTAGTGCATGATGAATATAAATTTAAGCTATTGGGCTTTTAGTGCAAAACTAGTTTGTCTCCCAGCTGTTCGTGGGAACATTTCCTGAAATCAGTGTGTGCTGCAGTGTTTTTCAAAATGAGCTACTGTCAAAACAAGAAAAAGAGACGACTTAGGCGATAAGTATTTCAGTATTAGGTTTGCAAATATTGTTTTTCGCGAGTACTTTAGAAATGTAGTAGCCTTTTTTTGTGTTGCACATCTTTTGCTATTTACTCTTTCGGACACTGTTTATGAAACTTTAGTGCAACATTAGACATATGAGGCAACATAACCCTGCATGTCATCCTCAGTTTGTTTCCATTCGTCTTAAATATTAAGGCTGTAGACGTGCGGCTCCTATAATGTTGTTACTCTGCAAACTGGGTTTCCACCCCCGTGCGAGTTTGGTTTCCATAATGTAACGTAGTTCTGAACAGCAGGCTGTAACACAACAGTATAAAATATTACGTGACGTTTCAGGAGTTATGAAATGAATGTTTCCAATAGGAGAGAGAGAAAGTATGAATGCCTACACAGTGTTGCAGCACTTTCCTCTCTTGAAGCCCCAGTTAAATCCCTTATTCTCTCTCATTTTGTCTTTCTCCTGATCGCTTGAGTTAATGGACCTAATAACATATCTCTTGTGCCCCCCTGACCTCACCCTTCATGTTCCTTTTCCTCTGTTGGTCCCTATGATGACGATATTTTTAACAGATTATATAGAGAGATTTAAATCTATGAAAAATATGTTTCATGACAATGAACACAAATAGAGACAGTGTAAACACAGTTTATGCTGTAGTTTATTATTATTATTATTATTATTATTATTATTATTATTATTATTATTATTACATATGTATATTATTGGGTTGAAACCCACCTGGGCCCATATTGATCACTCAGAGACAAGGACTTACACTACAACTGTATTCTTCTTCTGCATTTTATTTTTTACATACATTTTATTTGTGTAATATTTTACAATATACAAATAATATTCTACACAAAATCTGCTTTCCAGTGCTGTAAAATTGCTGTTTTCCCATTTTTTTGTTTTCCCATATTGCAAAAGAAAGGGGGAAAAAAAGTGTTAATTAGTGAGCTTTAGAGGCGCTAGTAGGTGGACTGTATGACATTTGGACAGAGCTAAGCTAGCTGTTCCTCCCTGTTGCTAAGCTAAGCTTACTTTATTGCACAGATTTGAGTCTCTGAGCAAGAAAAGCTAAATAAATAAACCTCCCAAACTGTTAAACTACTTAATTACGTTAAGGAAGAATAAAATGTCAGCTAAAGTTGCGAAGCAGGACTAATAGGTCAGCTATGTTTCCTTCTCTCTGTGTGATAAATAGAGGCCTTGTGGTTTTATTGACACAGTAATATTCAGTGTAATATGAAGCACAGTGCAGTTAAGTATTATATTATTGTACAGAAGGCTCTGGCAGTGACTGTGTGCCTGCTGAACAGAGTCTCTCCTGGCATATCTTGTGTATCTGGCGCTTTCTGGTAGGACGAGCTGCAGCCGGGAGATGTGTTCCCCATTTGCTTTTCATTTTTTTGTTTGTTTGTTTGTTTGTTTGTTTGTTTTTGAGCTTGTAAATGCGGCAGGTTGCTTGTTCAAAAAAAAAAAAAAAAAAAACAAAAATGTATGACCTGTGTACATGTGGTTCTCTCTGGATTTATTATTCTGATTCTGTTCATGGCTGTGTTGCACATGCATTGGTTGTTTCTGACTTCAGTTGTTTGAGTAATGAATAAAAGAATAATTTTTGGTTGTGAACGATGCAAAGGCGATGTCTCGTTCTTCGGGTTTGTTTTCCACCTCTCCATCCTCTCAGTCTCTGTGGCATCTCCTCTCTCCCTCATCACCGAGATGCTATTTATAGTTGCCCCGGTTTTCTCCTTCTCCGTCTCTCTTTCCTCTCTCTGTCAGAACATGAACTACAGTATCTCTCCCTATCTGCTATATCTAATCGCAGGAGGTCTTGCAGCTTCTGCAGCTGCACCACATTAACATGCCTACACCCTCCCTAACCACGTTTGCAACACCGCTACTGTAACCGTGTTATATTGACCACATGAGGCCCTTCTGTTTTTCCATGCCTTTGGTTCAAATTTAAAATGGTTCAACAACAGTTGAATTCCAATGAATGTTCACACGCACATTCATCATGATAACTTGGGTTGTGAGTCAAATACCTCAACACCTATTGGATAGATTGTAGTGAAATTTGCTCACACAATCATGTTTCCAATAATTGCAATCTATAATGTATAATCTAGCTTTTTCTATTAGATCAAATAAGTTTGTTTGTGACCAAATACCTGCAAACCTAATTACATTTCATGGAGCAAATGTTCCCTACCTGCAGCTACAAACCCTCCTTGTATTTGTGCCACTTCTCTTTAGATCACAGGCCAGCTTAAATCACTTCAACAATCATTTCAAAACCTTTTTATTTTCTCGGCTTTATGACTGGCTAAATGTTTTTTTTATCATTTTTTCACCCATGTGTGGTTTAATTTGTATTTTGAGTTGCATTTTGCACAGAATATTGCTATATAAGTAAAGTTTTCTAATCATTTGTTATTACCAGTTACAGCAATTACCAATCATTTGGAGTATTGGTTAATATAAAGCAAAACTGGCTCTCTTTTGGCTCTATTTTTGGTCTCCACCACCTCCTAAAAGAAAATATATGGCTGTTTTGTTGCTAAATATGATATTGTGTTCATCAGCTAATGCCAATTAAGTCTGTGTGGCTGTGACAGTGAATAAAAACTGAATATTTGCAACTAAAAGCTGAAAGACACTGTAATGCACACATTTTCATTTGATGCACTATTTTGAATAAAAAATATGGATTATGACCTTTTTTAAATATCAAAAGGAATCAATCCAACACAAAGGAGATTGGAGGGTAAAGGTGGGAGCCAAGCCAGCCTGTGTGCCGGATCACAGATGGCCACTTAGCCTCCTGAGGAGAGCCAGCGTCTCTGAGATCATTTAACTCGGCCTCACGCTGCAGCCTTTCTCCTCCATCACTCAGCCTCGGCCTCCTCCTGGATCGACCACGCTGGCTGCCTCGCTGTGTGTTTTAGTGTCGTCCTGCTGCTCACTCGCTGGGCTGTCGTCTCCGCTGCAGCATCAGGACTGATGTGTGATCACTGGTGATATTTCAGGATGCCGGGAGGTGAGCTCAGCCTCCCGCAAATACCAGTCCACCTAAAACCACAGGTGTGAGGACTCAAAGGCAAGAAGTGTGCCAGGAAACTGAAGCCAGTGACTCATGTTAAAGCTCTTTCTGCATCATTACACACCTGCATCAGGGAGATTCACTTTATTTCTCTTCATGTTTCAAATCGCTTGTGGGGACTTCATTCACTCAAGTACTGTATTTATTAGCAACATAGAGGTTTGACTGCTTTATTTTAGCATTTTCAGGTACACTTTTACTTTTGTCAGACATATTTTACAACTGTGGCAGATTTAGATTTACACACTAAACAGGTTATCACATTGAAAAAGTTTACGTTTTTATGAACACACTGCCTAAAGTTACATTGGTAAGAAGGTAAAATAAGCCTGTCCAGTTTTATTGTGCACCTGCATGCACCACAATTTAGATTTTCTTGTGCCACTTTTGGTTTTATTTTTTTTTTTTGCACCTTTTTTTTTTTTCTTTATTATGTTTACTTTTGAAAAGTCATCTGTAAATCACTTCCATTTGCTCTAGTTTGTAGAAAAGACAGGTTTGAAAAATACAATATACAGTATAATAAAAGCAACACCTTGTTCAATAGAACTTTTTCTTTTGATACATGAAGTATGTTTAGTTGATACTTTCATCTTTTGAGTTCACAAAGTATTTTTAGATTGCAGCATTTTCAATTTTTATTCAAATAAAAAGTCTTGAATCTTCTAACTCCCGTTTGAGCGAAAGTACAGAAGTATTGTCTACAGAATGTACATAAAGTTTCAGAAGTTAAATAGATGTATTTCACTAAAAGATTTTTAGATTATTGTGTTGCATCAATGCTTAACCACTGATTTTGTTTTTTTAACACTATTTTTAATGAATCTTTAACATTATACAAACAAGCAATCA